TGTTCTGTCGTTACAGACATGTTGCACCAGAACACATGTGATGGCCGCATCAACTGGTTTCTGTTCGAAAGCAGTTTCCAGACTTTTCAATCTGAAAAAGGTGCGTTAAGTTCTCCTATGAATGAACACCGACCACACTGTGACCGAATGTTGAGACCACATAGCAAGACCTCATTGATTTAACAGCTTAGATTGCGGTAGACCACACCAATCAGCAGCTCTTGTCCCTTGAATTTCAAGCGGTAACTAACCAATTCACAGGTCCAAGTCTTATAAGATTCGCCGTCGATAATGTATAATGGGATGATATTCTTAAAGAATAGAGCCACTTCTCCACCTTTACAATTCTGGATTCTGTCGTCTTTTAACAATGGTCCCGATATCATTCTGTGTAAAGTCTCACCACCCGGTTATTTACAATTTTTAGATCCTTCTCGCCATAATCTGACCTTAATCTTAGTATTTCGGCCTTTTGTCTTTTTATAAGGTCCGCGAGCAGCAAGTATTGACGAACAGAATCTGTTGACCCATTTCGTTTATATTTATTCTGTAGCGGTTATTTTCGTCGGGAGTTTTAAATACTATTGTTGGCAGCCTGGTTTGACTAATTCCAATTCCTTTTGGCTACCTGGTATATGAATATTTAGCAAGGTGGCTCACGAGATATCCTGAGGCACTGACTGGTCCAGTAGTTATTTTATAGATTCAATTTCATGTCCGAAACCAGTTCTATGTTCTGAGCTGTCATTCCCCTTAACTCTATAAACGACAAGTGACCATTCACTATGATCATCCTTCAGCTTCTCAGATACTGTTTAAAGGTCTCGCTTTTCTTCTGTAACATCAGGCCGTTTCAAATTCGTTATTTGTACCCGTTCATTAACTTTCATTGGATTAGCAATCACAGTTGCGTTACACGCATTTTGGGATTCTGGATGACTGTCAGTGATTTGGGTAGTAAGGTTACTATTTTTTGGCTAAAAAACAGGTCTGTCCTTGAGATTAGGCTTTTAAAGAGTTTCCTGCTCGCCAGCGTCCGGAGCGCGAAGAAAGGAGCGAAACTCCCTTTCTTGAGCTCTTATCTCTAATGGACATTTTACAGACCGCCCCTCTTCTATTAGTCTCAATTACGCATGCTAACACTCATTTAAGGAGCATTTACGATTGCAATGACCTTGGATGTCAAGCTGTCTGCGTTTGAACAGCATCAATGACGCAACCACACATCGAAACGTTTATTAATCCGTTTGAAAGCCTCAGGAGTTAGATTCGTGCAAACTTCGTGTTATTATCATTTGTACTCATCGCATGGCATGCCACTTTTCACAAGTTATCGACGACGTGAACGTTGACAATTATTGTTCCCGCACTGTCCAGTTGTCAACCGCAGGTTTTAAAAAAACACACGCAAAGAATACCCAGACACAAGATAAAGTGATGACCAGAAAAAGTGAGCGAAATTGCAAATTGTTAGAACCAAAAGTGTAAAGAAATACAAAAAGAATCAATGTACTCAAAGTAGTGATAATAAACTGCTTTCAAAAGACGATACTCTTGGAGAATACTTTTACTGAAATAAAGTTAATTAAAGTGAAAACAGTACTCTCGATGAGCAATAAACGACCAAAACAAGAAAGTTAACTCGGTGAAGAAAAACAACACTGTCCACAATAAATATTGAGAGCGTGTAGAGTATAGTCCTCAGTTTAAACTAGAGTAAAATGTTAATTAAGGAAACAAGATGAAGAACTAAACCCCGATAACTATAAAGTCCTTGATTACATTGCTAGCCAATGTATACTTACGTCAATTAACGGCCATATTTGCTAATGCTTGATGTTTTAATAAGTTTATTTCAGTGAACCATGTAAACGTCAATTAGATGGATGAAAGTATACAAGTATATACGGTCCTAATATATATATTGTAGTGGTATATAAACCCCCAGTTCGAATCCTGACTTTTCCGTTGTTTGACCGCACTATTAGGAATCAATCGATTCCAAACCACCCCCTACCGCCCACAAACAAACAGGCTGGTAGAACTTTATCCCCGGAAAACGTTTCACAGTGGACCAACGCTCTTCCACTCGTCTTACTTGGTATTCTCAATGCAGTGAAAGCTGACATTGGATACACTGCAGCTCAACTGGTTTGTGAAACGACACTTAGACTTCCCAGGAGAATTCGTGGATTCTTGTTCGTCTTACAAACGCAATGCGTTCAATTAAACCTGTTTCTACTCGATCGCAATCAACTGATGCTTTCGTCCAACCTGACTTACGGTATAGTCCACACGTCTTCGTACGTCGAGACTCACATCCACGACCTCTCGAATCAGAATACGAAAGAACTTTCAAAGTTCTTCAACGCGAAATCAAGTACTATATAGTCGATAAGATCGAAACCAACGATATAATCAGCATCGGTCACCTCAAAGCAGCGTTTTTAGAAGAAAATCCGATTCACGTCGATTTTCCTTCGGTACAATCGGACGACACGACTCCGACACTTATAATACCTCATCCGACAACCAAAACACACGATGATACTTCGACAGCATTTGAAAATAAACTTGAAACAACGCGTTATGGAAGAATAGTAAGATTTCCAGAACATTCAAACGATTGTTGCACGTAAGACACCAGCTAACAATTTGCTTCATCTCGATTTTCGTATGTATTTCGTATAACAAAAAATTTAATATGCTTATACTTATATATTTGTTCCAAAATCATTTTGTGTGTATATTGACCTTTTTTTTAAAAACCCAAAAAATTCTTTAAAAATCGCATTTACATTATCTCATGTATATGAGTTTGTTTTCTTTTTTTTCTCCCGCTTTGTGATTTTACGCGTGCACGAGTGTATTTTGACATGCACTTACAAATTTTTTTTCCAGGACGGGTGGTAAAGACGAAAAGAGATCGACGAAGTTGACGATGGACCGAAATTTTTATTGTGCCTTGTTTCTTTATTACTATGTTGTACTTCACGATCCTTCATAGTAAGGAAAGACGACCAGACGCTGCTAAACATAGCACGCTATCAGAACAGTGTTTACCAACGTTAAAATCGTTGGGTTTAAACTTCTGGCTGGCCACGTCTTAGGGTCATCACTACCCCACTAGGAGGGGAGCGATCAGTAGCGGTAAATAAATCCCCAAAATAATTAGCTCTGTAAGTTTACGACATTGGATGCTGATCACATTAGTTTTAATGGAATAACCTGGCTGAAGGCGTTCGGTCATGTATCCGCACCGGATCACGGGTGGAAACACCGTGCTCAACATCCCTTGCAATCGCTAGCCAGATTAGGTCAGTTGATTCCCGATATATTGATAGCCTATCAAATATATCTTCGAAACTCCTTGCTTCTGAATTTTGATTTCACTTGGTGGTGACGATTCATAGTAGGTGTTACTAGTAAATGCGTTGTTAAAATCCAAATACCTTTGGCATCTTCATTATCATTATAAAAACATTCGGTGCTAACGCAGAAAATAATATAACGGAGCCAGAATTTACCCAGTTAGTCCAAACCACTGATAACCACGATAACATCCTTTATGAGAGAAATTTGAAGTGTTTAACTTACCATAACATATTGTTATGAATATCATTCTTTCTGTTGATTTCAATATATTTATTTCATTTGGACTATGGACTTGGCTTGTTTAGAATTTCGATTTTCGCCCTCTCTTAGTTCGATATTTTCAAATTATCCTCTGAAAACCTAAAACTTGCAAGCATTTTGCGTAAAATGTAGTTATAGTTATTCCACAAACTTCGGAATAAATAACTTGCTATTCACAAATCTATTGTAGATATTTAAATTGGGAGCACTGGTTATTTATTTTTTCGCTTGAGTATGTCAATCGAGTTCCCTTCAAGAAGCAATCACATTAGGAATTTGGGGTCTAACTATACTAAAATTCGGATGTTTTAAGCAATGCTTGCAGTACCATACAACTCGAAAAACACCACCCATCTACACAGATCAGCTAAACTAGTGATCTACGTATGCAACAAAGAGCTTTCCGCATAATAAGCGGTACTCCAACAATCTGTATATCAGAACGCGAAGATACCTAATTATTAACTCATAAAACATTCCCATATTGTAGAGTAATCACACAATGTAAGCCCCTTTTGTACTATCACATACGTATCTTGAGAAATAGTACTATCTAACACCCCACCTGTCACAAACAGAATCATATTCCTATTAATACAGCGGCTTGCTCATTATTCACCCAATATCTGTCTACGAGATTGCACCGGCACAGAGTATTTCCAAAAAAATGTTTTATCACAATTATCATATGTTGTTTCGTCTCATATTATCTCTTATGATTTACGCAAATGACAAAAGTGACAAGCAGGAAATCTTGGTTTCCGTGTTTGCTCTCGCGCTGTATACACTAACCGGTTGCTCAAGCTAGATAGTATGTACCACAGTACCATTAGTATGTACCAAAAACACTATGCACGTTAGATATAACAAAGTCAGGATTTGCTACATAAAGCTTCAATGTATTTGACTGCCATCCTAACGATAATATTCATTCTTTTACTGAATCACTGTGGATTATCATAGGATTAGAAGTATTTCATTGTCACGTATACTAAAAAGTAGGGTCCAAACGGAATGAGCCAGTTCATGGTCTAAATAACTCGATGATGGTACTTGAACTAGGGGCTTTTAAAAAAGATTGTAGCGAAAGCCGTTAGAGCCTCACCACAAGTTAATTCACTGCCAGGCAATGCCAAGATTAATGTAAGTACGAGGTTTCTCTATATGGAGAATTTACTTCTGTTACATAACTTCCTAAAGTAATAAAAAACTAACGATCATTTGAGGCGTATTAGAAGAAAACTTTACGTTAAAAGTCAAAATATGAAAGAGTTTCAACCGTCCTAAAGTTGCCGTATAGTAACAAAAGGTTGTCATTTTGTTTTAGCTCACACTATTATAAGGCGTTTATTTAAAGCTCGTATGGAATGGACTATGATGGTGAGCAGTTGTGGTTGTTTTTATGTGCCATTGTGGAATTTTTTCGTCTAAGTATAAACTAATAATCACCTATATTTAGAGCTTACCGTCGAAGAGAAAGAAAGACTACACTTCATTAGACAGCAAAAGACTCAGGTTATGAAAAATATTGAGGTAACTGTGTTATAATCTTACTTTTGGTAGTCTCTAAAACTTGAACTTAATGACATAACAAGCCAGATTGAAAACCTTGGTTTTTCTGTCGATGGGTATTTTTGATTATTCTTCATGATGGTTTCTTAGGGAGGACCCATCTGTTAGACGGCTTGCGTTTGGCTGCAAGGAATTCAATAGGAATCCAAAACAGGTTTGATCTACTACTTTTACAAATGCCTTTGCAGGGTCTGGAATACCTCTTCGACAATAATATAATTGGAAGGTCTCCGGAAGACGTAGCGAAATTCTTTATTGATCAAAATCACAATTTATCTAAGCATGCCGTTGGCACCTATATTGGCGAGATGTAAGCTCGGCTCTTGAATTTTTGTGTAAATCTGCTTTTCGTTTCTATGCTTGAAAGGCTTTTTAGCTGATATACATTTAAGCTTTTTTGTAAACCTCGGATAATAAAATATAAGTGCCCAAACAACAAGCGGTATTGATATATCATGTATTTGGTGTTCACTGACATTGAAATTAAAGGTATCATGACATCATGTCAGACAGCTGCATGTGAAATATTTATGGTCTAGACGGAGGAAATCACCGCTAACTTAAGAACGTCCATATATTTAGCTCAGTATGTCCAGCACAATTTTTGTATTTGGTACATAATGCTTGATTTTTTTGTTTGCTTTTTGTAGTTGTAAGGAATTTAACATGCAAGTTTTGGATGCATTCTCCAAGTTGCATGACTTCAAGGACGAAGAGTTTTTACCGGCTCTTAGGTGAGTCAACTTTCTGTTTTTGTTTTCGACATGTTCCTAGTCACTTATTTAAGTTCTTGTGGTTCGTCATAGGTGAGGTTTTGCTTATCCTTTTTATATTAAATATTGGTCTTGATTTTTGCCCGTGTTCCACCATAGTTGTGAATCATGAATGCAACTTATTCCGGGTTTTTGTTAGCGTGCAGTCTTATTCTACATGAACTCCCAGCAAGTGTACTACTGTGTTGTGATCCATGACTAAAAGCCTCAAGTGATGTCGCATAGTTGCATTCCTTAGTGATCTTCTAAATCTTTTGTTCTTAATACTACTACATTACGCTATAAGTGACATAATAACAATCTTCTATAATGTTTGCTGAAATTAGCGATTGTAAGGGGTATCCATTTATCTGAAGGACAGGCTAACTAAAAACTTACGAATTATTCAACGTTAATAGAACACAAAAATAATAAGACTAATGCTTTCTTTTTCACAATTTTCGTTAAAAATACCATAGTATTTATGATGTTTGGTGAAATCTTGATATGTAACCATACTTGTAATTCTACCCAACATTTACATCGTTTTATTGGTGTGTTCCAATTTTTTTACTAAAGCTTCTTCTTTTCAGACAATTTTTGCTTAGCTTCCAACTGCCTGGGGAGAGTCAGAAAATTGACCGCATTTTAACGAGTTTCTCTGAACGCTATGTAGAACAAAATCCTTCAGTTTTTAACTCGCCACGTATGTTAATATATTTGTGACGTTTTATTTTTTATTGCGTTTGTCAGTCAGCTACAGTGTAAGACCAGGTGTATATATGCATCAGTCCAAGTTGCCACACCTCATTAGCACAACAAGATGAACACAAAACTCATAGTAGTTACTTCACTGGTAGTAATATATAAAAGAGTGTACATAAAGGACATGATACAGGTAGAAAGAATTAGTTCGTAGGAACAAAGGTATAAAGCAATTTCGATCTCATGGTTTAAGGAAAGACAAAGTGTATACGCCTACTTCATTGTGATCGATCCTGAGAAATGGCATCTAGAGTCTCCAACCACTAGTAACTATAGTCGCGCGGACCCCAAACAAGTAGCTTGCATCTACTAACATGGTAGAAATTTCGTCAGGTATTAACCCATTATTACTTATTTATTTATTTAAACACATAAACACTGGTACAAGGAGGCACCAAGTAGATATGCGCCACATAAATAATTCGGTGTGAGGGCTGGGATACTACCCGGGTGCACAAACTGAAGCAGGTAGTTTTCTTAGGGGGCCACACCCCGGGCCTTTGACCTAAAGGTCTGATCCATAAGGCAATGGAGCAATGTGAGGAAATGCAGTCCTATGGTATCCGTTGACCAACAATTGGTTCGTACGCCATTTGTTCCTTCAGGATATTGGAGCCCATGTGCACCATTTGTTTGGAATCAGGTTTTTCTATTCCTCTTAATTTCATAAACAACGGTAATCCCGTGAGAAGTCAGTGAGTAGGACTTCCCTGTCAGTAATTGTATTCAGGTGTCCATGTGAGGGCAATTCGAGCGGCCGTACCAGGGCATTTGGAGGCACCAGACTTCCAAGATAAGTGTTGTCGACGCGTTTGATTACTTCACTCCCTATCCTTAGTTCAGTTGTTGGCACTGGTCAGTCCTGAAGCAATAATTTCATTTAGACGTAAAGAAACGCATTTCAAACACCGTGGCATCGTTGCTCAGTGTTACCAAAGGACGGCATTTTATCAGCGTCTTCACCAAACAGAATTATGTCATCTGCGTATTCTACGTCGATAAGTGGACCTCCTAGAAGATCAATCCCCGGAAATTCGGTTGACGAGAAAGTTATTTCTAGTAGTAGGTCTGTCATGAAATTAAACAGAAATGGACATAATGGACAGCATTAACGAACACCACTTGAGGTTGCAAAACCAGATGACAGTCTGCCATAAGCTGCATATGCTATATTTGTTGTTATTTGCCTTTTGGGGCCTGACCAGCCACTTCACCACAAATTGAAGTTCTGGGAGTTGAATATTTCATATAGACTTATATTTTATAACTGAATAAATCTGTCGATTTCTTAACCAGATAAATAGATTCTTATTCTATGGTATAAGAACCACAATTATCACCAGGTGACTAGCGATAATAATTAAGGACAGTTCTAGATCACATGACTTGTGCGTGGACTACAAAGGTTTTATCGAACCTGTCATATATTTTGTATTACGTATGACTAGCAATCTGCACGTATATTACCGGAGGTTATTTATGTCTTATGGTAGCACTTCCATATTTTTCAGAACGCTCAATCTGTAAAATTTGAGGTTGTACATCTCTATTGACTGAGACTGTCAACATATGTATTACGTACGCCCATTCACCGCCAGCCTCGAGTCCCAGTGATTACGGGTGTTTGATTAGATTGCGAGGAAGCTAGTGCTTCTGAAACAAGACATGAGATTAGTCCACGAAACCATTTACTGTTGAACCGAATCCTATCGTCAGGTGCTAACTACCTGGTTTGAGTCAACGTAATAATCGTAATTTGTGGTTGGAGACTGGTTAAAAACGCTTTGAGTTGTTCACAGTAGCACCGGCGCATTCACACTATCTTGTAGATCCTAAGCTTCTAAAGTGCTTCGCAAAAATGCTTTTTATTCCACTAATCCATATTTTTTCGGATTTTATTTTTGCATAAGACCTCGGTTTGCCACTGATACGTACTATCTCTTAATGTTATGTCCCCAAATAATATAAAATGACCTGCCATTCATTTGTCGGTATTTAATAAAACCTAATCGTTTTCGGATTTCACTTTCTTTGGATATAGTTCCTATCTTGTTATTTTAGTACATATTAAATACGTTTTATCGGATTAAGGACTTATGATCTAGCACGAATTATAAGTTATGTAAATCGTCTTGTTCCCTCCAAAATTTTAGGGACAGGTATCAAGAGTCTCTAAGACGCACAATATTCGTAACTTCTTATCAGCTTTGTAAACAAATTCTGTAGGCAGATTAAAATCACCCTCCAATATCATATGTAGAATTGTTCATTTAGTTTCACTATTCTGTTTCATGATTAAAGCAGGTTTTTCTATGTCGCATATCGTAGTTTACTGATATTTCTTCCTGTGTATATTGTTTGGGTTAGTAGTTTGGCCTTATAGTTGAATACTGACAAATGAATTTCCAAACATTTACCAGGGATCACTGATTAGTATATTTCTTGTGGTCGTTATTCGTATTTACGAGGATTCGTTTCCATGCAATTGGACATTTTATAACTTAAACGTTTATGATTGTGATGGACAACTGTGATGGGATCCGCCTGGATAGTTTAAAAAATACTCATTATTTCGTAACTGAAAGGAGCCGCCAACATACGAGGTTGGAAGTCTGGACTACAGACCAAACAATGATCCCTGAGCTGAGACGTGGTCAGAAGGCTAGGCCAAGCCATGTATGAAGTAGCGGTGGGAAGAGATAAGTGGACTCGACATCAGAACCAGCTACGTAAACGGTTATTCCCAGACCACCCATCGAGAAGCAGAAATCTCCCGCTCGAAGTTCTGTTAGAAACCTTCAACTTACCCGCAGTCCCTACGGAGGAAGTACTACAACAAATTGAAGGACGCTCTATAAGGTGGTAATTCCCACTTAGAAGGAATCTAACTGTTATTGGTCTGTTTCATCTTTTAGTACACTATTTTGTGATGTTTTCCAAGGACATTTTTGTACTGTATATATACGAATGAGTTGTGTGCTTGTTCGTTCGTGCTTCCGACTGCTTCTCAAATTTACATTTCCCTCTGCTGAATCTGGTCTTCTCCCTCAGGTTAGTAGGGCTGGGGCGCAGTGGGATAGTTTAGTTTGTCCTGTTGTAGTGTTGCTGACTTTCATTCTGTTCGCCGGTTTTAGGTGATATCGTAATCTCTTCAAACGTAGACAAATCATAATCGTCGACGTTTCACTAGTAATTATTATATATGGGTTGGGACACTCCACAAACGCCCAAAATGAAGCAAGTGGTTTCCTTATGGGGCTACACTCTGAGCTTACAACCCACATAACAGTAGGGCAACGTTATGTTATGCAGTCCCATCGGTAGCTAGTGGCTAATATAGCTCTGTACACCATTGTTATAACTGTTCGTTTGAATGCTTATTGTCTTTGCTCTTTTAATGCTAATTTTTGTATTTGATCGTCGCTGATTGTTATGTCGGAAACGCTTATCAATTATACTCGGAACGAGAGACTTCTACAATTCCCATAACGCGAAAGTAAGAACGCAAAGACTTGTATAAGTGATGATTTATTAACCCCCAAGACATGACGATGACTCTAGTAGGAAATACACTCATTTATATATTGATTGTACACCCATTTTGATTAATAATTTGGATGAAATCACATATATAACAAATCACAGACTGAGTATGGTTCATGTCAATGGAATACAAGAATATCACATATTATACAGAATAAAATATCATACGGGAAAAGAAAAAAATAATACACTGAGTTATCATTACATTGAACCAAAACGAAAGCAATCTTGAACTGAACTCATAATGAGTAAATCAATCGAAAATTGACTTTGATTTCCATTATACCAAGTTTGGAATCAGGGTTGTTCGACCACGTTAGATAAACCCGTCGTTTCCACCAATGTATTTTAAGAACCGAATGCTCCAGCTTGAGGAAGTACTTGTATTATCAAGCCAGGAAGCCTCAAGGGCTAGTAGGAACTCTATGGAAACTAAGCACTTATAAGTGAATAATTTCGCAGGATGTCAAGCGAATTTACTCGCTGTTTTGATGAAGTCATGCAAATGCACACGTTGCTCATCTACGCTTTTCGGTTGATCAATGATTAGCTTTCAGCTTAGCTTAGTTCGGTATTCACTTGCAGTTGAAAGTACAACCAACCTAAATAAATAACCCCATCTTGGATGATAAATTCGTTGACTAACAACACGCAAACTAGGCTTGACTCAAGCCAGGAAATGATCAGAGTTCATATTGGCAATCCAAAAGAAAATTCAGTCGTGGATACATCCACGCCTTTTGTAGACAACCTCAGTATAATTAATTTACATTCAGACTTCACATGGAGAGATGTCATATTTGTGACTAGCACCAATTTCCTGCACAGTCATGGTCGCTGCACTGACCGAGAAATTCGTGTATCTGTATAGTTGTGTTTTGGTAGCAGTTCAATCCATGTATAATGAAAGTCCCAGCGGTTTATGCCGATCTTAACCATCTTTGACTCCGTTGTGATAATGGTTTGATTGTAAAGGATTGGGTTTACAATACATCGATGAAAGCAGATCTACCATGTGGTTGTAAAACCTGGTCACTTAAAATTATGAATGTTCTTTGCATTCGATCATCGTCTCTAAAGTGTTGCTTGCATCCAGCGGCAAAATTGTATCCGTGATATTGTGGTTCGGCAATGTGTTTCGGTGAATTTGTGTCAATTGGCATCACCATCTAGAACGTATTTTATGAATGTCTTCTCAGCGGCTTTCATACTGTACATTATTTGCTAACGCTGACACTGTTTGTGGAAAAAACATAGGTAACCAATCTATAAAACAAGGTCGTTGGTTAGAAAATAACCGTACAATTTTTGCATCTATCTATTCATCACGACTCCTAGGTAGGGATTCTACAGATTATGCGAATTAGTGATTTAAGACGTCAAACAGAATAGAAACCAGCAGCAATTATACTACTATAGTTTTATGTTACACCCTTCATAAAAGTGTCGTGAAAGAAGTCCTTGATTGTATTTTTAATTGAACTATATATCTCAACAAATACTCTTGTTCATTTAATAATTAATTGTAATGACCTCTATTTCTTCATAATATTATCACTTCATTTTTTGTTGTGTCCATTGTACTAGAGTTTACTTGTCCTGTAAATAAATAAATAAAAGTGGTGCATTTTTCACGTAGTTTGATGGTTAGTCACAAAATGTGGTTCAGTTCGGTTTATTAACTTGGCCACACTAATTTAATTAACCATTTGGTTCTCACTTTTTATTTCTTCCCATAGTTTTTTACATTATCATAATTGAATGATGTATTGGCTTTTTGTATCCGCTTATCTGTTGTTTTTTTTCTTCCAGACGAGGCTTATGTACTTTCTTACGCTGTTATTTTGTTAAATACTACACTACATAATATAAATGCAAAAAGCCAAAATTTAGGCTTAGCAGAAGAAAAAACATTTGTACGTGCCATGATGGAATTTGATGAAGAAACTAACTTGTCCGAAGATCTTGTTCGTGTAAGCAATTTGATCTGATCATCATATTTGTTGTGTTATTCAATTCATTGTGTTTACATTCTACTCCTATCTATTTACTGATGCCAATGAATCGGTATGGGTGATGTCGAATTTCTATTTATTTTGCTCAACGTTATTTAGTTCGTGCCATACATTTTATTCACCGGAAATTACAACATTCGGTTGTGGCTTGGATATTTGCTCCTGAGAATCTGTATATCGTTAATTTATGGATTAAGGCAATTACCTCAATAGCCTTCAAATACCCTAGTACTGTTGAGGGTGAGAAGAGCACGCTCTTTTTACCTCGAAATGCTCTCACAGACAACTGCCCAAACCGAAGTAAGTGGTTTTCATCGAGAGTTACTCCGCGAGTCTTAGATAAAAACTTCTAATCTAAAAGGCATCAAGAGGGCGCGTTCGATGGTGTCTGGTGATCGAAATCATACCATACATCATTCGTTTCCTCAGGACCCTGTCCTCATGTATACCGTTGGCTTTGAATCTATTTGTGAAACCAGAGCTAGCTTTCATACTTCGAGTATTCCTCAAAGCTATTGACAAAAATATGTATTTGATTAGTGAACTGTATTCTACATGTATTATGTCAACTAGTTTCAGTATTTATTTCTTTCCTAATAATTTTCACTATTATATTTCTTTTCTTTATAGAAAATTTATCGTGCTATTAAAACTGAACCACTTCGTCCAGTTTCTGACGACTCATCTGTATGTGGATCCAATCAAAATAATGGAATTCATAAAGGATGGTTATGGAAACTTGGTAGGTTTTGAAGATATTTTTAAAAAAATGAGTCACAACAACAATGACAGTGGTTGTAGTCACTGATGATAATCATTATAAAAAATATTTGGTTAACCTTCATTGATTTATCTAGCATCAATAACGTTGTTGGATAAATAAGTATCACCATGGGCTGATTTCACGTATTAAATTGATTTAAATAAACATCCTACGTCTCAGATATGTATATTTTCTATTTTGTTATAGGTGGTCGGGTTAAAAGTTGGAAAAGACGATGGTTTGTGCTAACAGAGGACAGCCTCATATATTATCTTACTCCTGACGTAAGTAATATGTCGTCTATAATATTTTTTGTAATAATTCCTAATTCTTCTTTGTTTTTGGCTATTATCACTATCTTGTCGATCTATTTGCCACATTTACTTGGTACCGTAAGTCTAATCTTATCATTACTCACTCATCAATGGTCCAAATATAACGTGAGGAATGCGTTGGATTGTACTTTCGCGTGTTCATCCCACAACCATTTATGAAATCGTATATGTTGTTCAGTAGTTTGGTTAACAATTAACAACTATTAATAAAAACATGTCTTAGAAAAAGTAAGAAAACAAAATTCAACTGCAAAGCTACATAGACGTACTCAAAATTGTCTGTTTTTGATATCCCTCATCTGACTAATGAAAGAAGTGGATTGAGTAAGTTTGCAACCTGAAGAAAAGAAAAAAATCGTGTCGAATGCTAGAAAAAAATATATATGTAGCGTTTTAACGACTCACAAGTAAACAAACAAAAAGTTCGCACTATGATCGCGAGCAACGAAAGTAAATAAAATAGGAAAGGCAGCGGCCATTAATAACACCAGACAACTATTCCAACTCATCAAGGAAACAACTATCGAAGAAGCCACTGTTAACGAAATCATCTAGGAAAAACAACTGTTAATCACTCTTAGTTTAGGAGGTTAAAACAATGGGCTGGAAAATTTAAGGAACACTTTAATTACCCTCCAGCTATCCTCTAATTACCAACTATCCCCAAATAAACGGGAAACTGAAACACACATATACATCTGTGCCATGCTCGACTTTGATGATGACTAACTGACTGACTGCACACTTATATTTACCATTAATTTATATCTGTCTTACTTTCCATCATCCAATGTGAAAGTATAGTACATCTTGTTGCCCATTTTCTCACTTAGAAACATTGAGAAAGTGAGTTTGTTATTCATGATTTTTTTCACCTAGATCATAGTCATCTGTTAAGTAACTGATGAAAACTAATATCGTACAATACATTTATTCATTGTTTCATGCGAAACTGTGTGTGATAACTATCCCTTTTTGTTGTTTTTATGACACACTGAAATGACCTAACCCCACGTCAATTGATGTAAATGTTTTGAGAAAATCCGAACATACTATGATAGTAGTAATCATATAATCCGGCCAATAAGTACATATTTATGTTTTATGCTTCTAGGCACACTGAATGTACGTAATCACAAGATCTTAACCTAAGGCTCATAAAAAAGAACCTCGAAAAAGTGGGCTAATTTCAGACCTGGATATGGTTATGCCGACCGAATATACACCATTTGTTGGGTTCTAGAACGTAGAAATACATACCAACTATAACGGTATTTCTTAACCTTAAGGTGCTATTCAACTTTATTGACCGAAAAGTTTTATGACATTATCTGTCATTGAAAAGTATACCAAAGGATTACATCAGCTTTGTGAAGTCTCTGTACTCAAATACTACTAGTGAACTCTAAAACCTTTGGCAAACTCTCACCAAAATCAAACGATTTTCGTAAGGGTTGCCAACTTCGTTCATTTTTATTTAAATTTGTCGCACACATCATTTTGGAGATAATACTTGTCGTCTGACTTTGCAGGAACTGATCTACCATGAGGTTTACTTGTCGACTCCAAATATGTAAACGACATAGTTCTGTCTGGTGAAGGCGAGTAATAAAACGCTGAGTTTCTATACTTTTTTAAAATTGTATTTTAACCTTCAAATTTATCATTTTGTGCAACCGATTTTCATAATTATCTATCTTGACCTAGTTTCTGGAACACATTTGCCTTTAAATGATTCACTTCCTAAAATAAGAATAACACATTTTAGTATTATTGTTGCTGATTTTTGTTCCTTTGTTATATATAACGCTCAATTTTCATGTAACACGTTTACGGGGAAATAGGCTATGTGTGTATCCTCATCGAAGTAGGATTGGATCCATTCAAACCTGTTTGTAACCCATTTTTGGTTATTAAGTCTCCCAAGTACCACTTTGACCACTAACCGTTAAGAAATGCCGTCGGTAACAAACGTAGATCTCTTTGTTGAACCTCTCTTTTTGTTTTATTTTTCAATCTATTGATATTCATCATAATTTTTTTCTTAAAATATCTAGTTTAAAATCTTTTCGTCCGCATCGGATGGTTTAAGAGATTCAGTAAAAATCTCCGCTTAACCGAGTTTTCGTCTAGGTTAGCACTTGTCAGCAATCTTGCGGGAACTGATATTCCATGGTGGATTCAAGCTTGAGACATCACTAAACTATTCGGGTTGTGACTGATCTATTGAATTGAGATAGTTACATTAATTATTGAGTAGTGACCAATGTTGTATTTGTCTGGTCCTTTGAGTGTTGGTCGTTTTCTGTCAGTCAAGTTTTAGTGTGTCATTAGTCTTAGTGATTGGACATCGCATGTACTCTTTTGAGGTGTTATGTATTTGTAGTTCCCTTGATATCTCAAGTATGCCTTACTAACATGTGCCAACTAGCACAAAACCTAGGTTCAGTGTTTCCTGCTGACTTTCTGCAACCACCTAACATATCAACATAATGCACACGATGTCAAATCACTAAGACTAGTGACGATATTCCAAATTGATGGATAGAATCCGATCACCACTAAAGTACTAAACAAACGCAACATTGGCCTCTACTCAATGAATTAATCAATTTAAATTTTCAACGATATATGCTATCCATCAAATGAACATTATAAACATTCTAATTGCCATTTTTGTTTTCATCAATTTTCTATAATTTCGGATTTCTCTTTCAATCTCGTATTTTTTTGTTTGTGGTCTAGCGTTCTCGTCAAACCAAAGGTGTTATCCCACTGGAAGGGATCAATATTCGACTAATACATGATAAAACAAGAGAGAATTGTTTCGAATTATATTGTCCACGAAATCAATTAATTAAATCATGTAAAGTTGAAAGAGAATTAGCCACAGGTAACCATGTAGTAGTAGTAGTGGTAGTAGTAATATATTTTCTGATATATGTGTTCTACTGAGCTTGTAAACATTTTAAATCCTATTAGCTTATGTGATATTTGAACAGGGCTTTATTCCTAGCCACATCACCCGATGTCTTTGACTGTTGGTTATGTTCTCATATTTCTCTGAATGTTCTTCATTATTTCTAGTTTTTCTTAAATAGTAACAGTAAATATTCGGAAACACATCTTATTAGCTGGAATTGGATCAAGTTGGAAGGAACAATCGGGAACAAGGATACCAGTTATTATTGTCACTTTTTATAATTAACACTAGACCAAATAAATGACATAATTCCACCAATTCTATAAGATTTTCGTAAGCATATATGGGACTTTGTAGTTTATCTCAACTGATTGTTGATTGCAACCTTATTTTCATAATGCCGTCAGTCAGTTAATTAATAGGTTCGATTATTCAGCGTGGTGAAAACATTCAATTTAAAAATATCATTAGCTTCTTGATTAAGGTTCTACTCCACCTATTCCAAATTGCCAGCCAGTCAGATATAATCGACGTAAGAACTGGCATTATCTCTGTTGGTCCAAGCTACCGCGCCGCGTCAGCACAGAGGGAGGAAATTATCCACATAAATGTCAGAGTAGTAGTAGTAAGTGTATTAGTGGTGGTAGAAAAGAAAAGGTATAGACAGATTTAAGGAAAGAAAATCAATTTGTGGAATAAAAAGTCTAAAATTATTTTTGAAAAACATGATCTAAGGGCAAACAAACAATGAATACACCTGAGTTATTCCAACCTATTCTTATCCATATCACTCAGTGTCACTAACTACTGATTATGATAACCTCACAAACCCTTATTAATTAGTCAGCATCTATCAACACTACTCAGTTCAATAGTCATTCACTCCATAGAATAATACCACGTCTTGGCTTACCAATTTCAGTTATAAGCAGCATAAGACCGACATAGCACGTATGTGTATCGATCGAATTCGCTGACAACTTAGGGGTTAACCAGAGTGTATTATCATCAGCTATTGCAAAAGGCAGAAGTATGGTTCAGCGTTGAATATATGAGCTCTTTCAGACTACGTTTTCGAATTATTTTAAATAAAGTATTTGATAGTTGATCAGTCTAACCAATACAGTTCATTTGAGTTGATTAGATTGATGAGAACGTATGGTTCCTTTAATTAAAAAAAAACAACTGATGTGTCAAAAATGTAAAGCACATATGCTTATTCAAACTTTCTATGCGAAAATTCAAATGTTTTCTGAACTCGTTTTCCAGGACTGAGTTATTAGTAAAGGAAATCCCAACCACTACTCACGAATTGTCCTTCTACTTAATGTGGACACTATGTACAAAGTATATATTATTTAGTCATATTTACTATCACCTGTTATAAACATATCTAATATAGTTTCCAACCCATCCCAATACGTATAACCATAGATTTCCTACATGAATTCATAAAGTTAGTTGTAATCACCGGTTGTAGATTATTAGTTGATATAACTCAAAACCAGTCATTCAATCTTTATCTTACCTTTTGGTTTAGATTATCAGTTCCAATATTCATTTATGTATATCTTTTCATTCTGTCTTTTCGAACTATATTCATCATCTGTAGTTTTTCTCATTATAGTCACTACTATTACTATTCTTTCATTTCCTTCACTAGTCATCTCATTAATTTCACCTCATCTTGGTAATATGGTATGACAACTTAAACTAACATTTATATCAGGCTCTCTAAACATGCTGAACATGACTGGTTGGTTCATAACAAGAAAGAACAAAATTGTTCCAATAATAATTTAATTAGAATTTTTTTTAAAAAAAAAAACCTCAGAAAAAAATCCCATTTCAATGATCGATTTTGACAGTAGTTATTCAATACGCAATTGATCTTTCCCAATCATTAAGTGATTTTTTTTAAATGAATAACGATTAATTAAATTCAATCGATCAATTAATTAATCGGAAAAAAACGTTAATCAGATATTGTAGTCAAAAGTGTAATTAATTTTTATTGATTATATAGATATATATTCACTATTGTATTTACTTCATAGACAAATATTAATCAACTGTGAATGATTATTGAGTTAATGTATATATATATATATATATGTCAACAAATACTGATCGAAATTTAATCTTGCATTATTGACAATATACCATATTGAACAAGTCAGTGATTATGTGATCTGAGGGAAGTAAAAGATGTCATCCAGTTCTAGTCCTAATGTGAACATCCATACTAAGATTCAGACACATTCAGCTAAGAAATTTTAAATACGACGAGATGCATGTTTTGAATTCCACTGTTAGGTACTATCCATTTATCCCAATGAATCATTAATTTCTTACTGTTAATCGTTCGATTTGGTAGTATTGAATAATAACATTAATATCGATTGCATAATAAAGTATAAACTCATGACGAGGGCTGGTTTTTATTATATATAATAATAGATAATTATCTTTTTGTAAAATAACCCTTCATTCTCTTAAAAAATGATCCTGTCAATCAGCTGTAAATTGGATACTATTTAGCTTATATAAATGTAAACACATGCGGTAAAGAGTGAACAATAATAGACTGATATTTCGTGTAAAGATTCGGGTACTTGGTAAAAATGGCAAATCAATTGATGAAGTAGTTAAACTTCATCAGTTGAGATGTCTAGGACCCATGTTACGTATGCCTAACCAATGACTGACCCAACGAGCGATGTTCTATAGTGTTGGAGTAGGTTGGAAGTGTTATACTTGTGACCACCAATTAGGGAGCAGTGAATTATCGATCGTTGGAATTTTTTAATAAACGGAATACACCCATTATGGCATTAAATAAGAAAGATTAGTTCGGCGAAGAGTTCTCTTCGCTGAACTAATCTTTCTTTCTTATTTAATTATCGATCGGACCAATGACGCACAAAACACGTGCAAGCAGTCTACAGTCCTTATTGGTCCCGCTTCCTGACAGGCCACCCAGTTAAACCCAGAACACCAATCTCAGCCTGTGCGATATGAATAATTTATTTAAAACATACTGGGTTTATATACCAACTAGACAGACCACATCGTACCATAAAATAGGAAACAACATTTGTACATGATTAAGCCAAATGTGGCTGTGAACGTGGGAGGTAATAATTAATAAACAGGTCATAATTCAAGAATGGAAAATCGTATAATAATAGTTCATAGTTGAAAATAAAGTTTATAATAAGAGGGACATGAATATGAATAGTTTAGTTATCTAACAATTATTCGATAAATATATAGGTATAGTATTGGTCCTATTTAGCCTTGTTTATTTGGAACATAATTTTGTTCCTGTTCAACGGTGTTCTTATTTCGGGGACTAATCGAGTACGATTATTAGTTCGTATAGCGAGTGATTTTAACACACTCCAAACTGATTTCCTCATAGAGGCATCTTTATCGAAATTATGCCTTATTGGTGTATCTCTTTAAAAAACGTCTTCGATACTTATATACTGATGTTTTTTTGTAATTTTACAGGTCATCAGCATACAGTATACAGAATGGCTGCACCTACACTTATTGAAAGAGATGAATGGATTCGTATGTTAGAACGTGTAACACATCGTTTAGCTGAACGTCGTACTACACGCAGTATCAGTGTCGATTGTACCGGTTCTTCTAGCTCTGGTATTATAGGATCAACTAGTCATCATCACCATCATTTACCACCTCCTGTATCCTCTTTATCGTTAAGGCGTAATGGAGCTGGAAGTCAACCGGATTTACCTAGTCAACAGTCTGTATTAAATTAATTCAAATAGTTGGAGTAGACAGAGTAGTTAACATTTCATTTAATTCTGTTGTAAATGCTTATGTAATAATGTGTTTTGGTTATGGTGGTGGACGTGCTTCTATCTTCTCATTTTATTCACCACCCCGCCCACACAATGCTCTTAAGATTCAATGTATCAACTATTAATTACGATAATAATAATAATAAACACTGTACACAATCAAATTATAAAACACATACATATGGTTTTCTATATTTGTAATCCATTATAAGTTTTTCTTGGTTTCCACATTCCTTTTGTTTTTGTCGGTGCTTCTTTTATTTAATTGAAGTGTTTTATTTGTGTTTTCTCATAAATATTCACTTTGTATTCGTTTTTGTTTGCTATTGTAATTGACTTCACTTCATTTCCCCCTGACTTTTTTTTCTCTCTGCCTATTTGTTTAGGATTTTTAGTTGATTTCAAAAGTTTAATCCAAAGAAAAACTTATTCATAGAGGGTATTCACAACAAAAAAAACAAAACTTCATTTTTGATAGTTAATCTTATAAAGATTATAGCTAAATATACTTATTTATCCCTATGAGTAGTATGTATTTCATATAGACTAAACTGACCGATGATCATATGTTAAAAAGGAAGAAAACAGTAGATTCGATATGAATGTAACAGTATAATTAACATTCTCCTAGTTTTTGTGAAAAGAAAATGTAATATGACTTGTTTCACTTTGTTCTTTTCTTGATCACATTCTCTATCTTCTTCTTTTATTCCAATCTACACTAGTCAGATGGTTACACTAAATTCTAATTATACTGTGTGTTTCTCTATTTTTATTTATCTAGTATCAACTTCTCTTAGATGAATACACTTCTATATATTTACTGTACACATTAGGTAATTTTATGTTTCACCTTGCATATTAATTATGGGTATTATTATTATTATTATTTTTATTGTCAATTTATTATCGTCATTTATACACATTTATTTATAATTTGTTGGTTGCGAGTAAGTATTCGGCTTTATTTGACTATTTATTTATTCGTATTTATTACTTACTTATATATTTATATTGTTCTCCTACCTCTCTCTATTACCGCTATCTCCATAATTATATTTCAATCTTTGTTTCCTGTTAAATTGTCTGGTTACTCTTTTCCCTCCCCCCTTGTCTCCGTTCTCTTTTGTCCTCAGGTATCAAATTGTAAACAAATTCATAGTTGCTTTTTTCTATTGTTTTTGATGCCTGTGTATGTATGTGTGTGTGTGCGTGTGCGCTCAAGCGCTCATTGTTTTATGCACACAAAAGGGGAATAGAAGTAAGAAATGTAATTTACACTTGTTCACAATTGTAAATATATTGCAATAAAGCAATCTATTTTACTAATCATGCTAAACGTTTTTTTAAAAAAAATAAAGAAATTTACCTACTTATTTTGAGCTTTTCATTTCCTTTTTGACATTAAATCGTTGTCGGTATTGTTTAGACGGATTGTTTGTTTAACATAATTCTATTTTATTTTACATATTCATTGAACATTTATAATGTATTAGATTTGATGAAGGGATATTTTCAGATAGAGGTATACTTCCGGTTCATATTTTTCTAACATATGATTAGATTAATTTTAGTTTTTATTATTACTGTGAATATTATCGGTTTGTCGTCAATAATCCTTAAATTTTGACGTCCCCCAAATACCCTGGTACGGTCGAGAGTAAAGAGAGTCAACTCTCTTCCTCGAAACGCTATCACATGGACACCTGCATACAACCACTGCCAAAGAAGTCCTACTCACTGTCTTCTCGCACTGGGGGTTATTGTTTACGAAATTGAGAAAACGAAAAGCCAATGTCCGGCGCTTTAACCGGGTTGGTGGATAAGGAGGATCCACCTAGAGGAGATGGAAAACCCTGACTCCAAACCAATGGTGCACATGGGCTCCAGGATCCTGAGGAAACAAATGGCGTATGAACCTATTGTTGGTCACCGGCTATCATGTGACAGCATTTTCTAACGTTGGTCCACTGTCTTGTGGATTAGACCTCTAGGCCAAAGGCTCGGTGTGTGCCCCTCTAAGAAAACCACCTGTTTCGGTTCAGGCATGCGGCAGTATCCTAGCCTCACACAAATTGAATGATTTATGTGGCGCATGTCTATTTGGTGTCTTTTTGTATCTATGTTTGTGTTCAAATAAATTAAAAATAATAAGTCACACTAATAAATTAGTTTTTAGTTTACTGATTAGTTTAATTTTTAAGTTGTATTCCTCAGTTTAATGTCAGTGACAGCCGATTTATCCTGTTACAGAACTGATAAATGCAAATTGTTAACCCTACTAGAGGTTGAACTCGGGTGCTTGAAGTGTCACAGTGAACAATTAATCATTAGAATCATTGATTTGAAGTTCATTGGTGTGATTTCAAGTATAATTGATTTGCGATATTGTGTTGACAATTATTTTATGTCATCGGAAATAATTGTCTCAATCTTAACTTGTCTAAACTCTATCAGTTATAATTTCTCTGTAGAACTTTAGATCACTCTTCAAGTAAGTCACCAGTAAGCTAACTATCATGGTTTAGTTGAAAAGATCTATGGTGATTGGTTTATTCATTAAAAGTGTCAGAGTAGCGTTAGGACTGACCAATCACTCTCTCAGGATAAACTGATTTGCCTTACTTACGTACGCACGCCTGTTACTCCCAATGGAGCATAGGCCGATGATCAGCATTCTCCAACCCACTCTGTCCTGGGCCTTCTTTTCTAGTTCCATCCAATTCTTGTTCATTTTTCTCATGTCTATCTACATTTCTCGGCGTAATGTGTTCTTTGGTCTTCCTCTTTTCCTTTGACCTTCAGGATTCCATGTGAGGGCTTGTCTTGTGACGCAGTTGGGTGCTTCACTCCATATGTGTCCTATCCACTTCCAGCGCTTCTTCCTGATTTCTTCCTCCGCTGGGATCTGGTTTGTTCTCTCCCACAGTACGTTGTTGCTAATAGTGTCCGGCCAACGGATCTGAAGTATTTTGCGTAGACAACTGTTAATAAACACCTATATTTTCTGGATAATGGCTTTCGTAGTTCTCCAGGTTTCCGCCCCATACAGTAGAACTGTCTTGACATTTGTATTGAAAATCCTGACCTTGGTGTTGGTTGACAGAGAGTTGCTTTGAGTTCCAGATGTTCCTCAGTTGTAAATATGCTGCTCTTGCTTTGCCGATCCGCGCCTTCATATCTGCATCAGATCCACCCTGTCCGTCTGAAATCACTCCGGAGGCTACTGCCGGTCCCAAGCCCGGATAAAGGAGGAGGGTTGGGCATGGGGTTAGCGTCCCCATCCCGTAGAAAAATAACTCACCAAAAAAACGCTAATCAGCAAAAATAATTCAAACTGATTTGCCACTTTGATAAAATTCACTTCTTTTTAAAAAGAATAATATCGAAAGATTTCAAATTTCGTATCATTCACAGAATATATTGCAAACATAATAAATTAAGCCGGTTCGCTCATGATTGTCGTCAAGGTAGTTTCCACATTGGATTGCCAATGTTAGTCGTCATATAAATCTGTTCGATGATCTGTGTTCACAGAAAAAAGTATTACAAAAACTTTAAATTTAGCTTTTGATCTATTCTATGCTCAAACTCGCCTACAAACTAACACTTTTAAGCAATCCAAGTTACTAGTTTAATTCTGTTTACTAAATATCACTTACAGCTGGTGCCTATTTATATGTAGTCAAATAATACTGGTTGTGAATAATTCAGTAACTCATATTTCCTTACTACACCTTGCATTTTATTATGATACAAATCCAGAGTATTGAAGCATTTGCAAGACCCTGACGAATATGATCATTGTATTACTACTAAAAAAATGAAATCAAGTACAAGCAGAAATTATTCTATCTGGATTGATTTTGTTCTTTCTTGGGTCATTTTACGTCTTGCTCTTTTTTCCCAACTCTATTCCTACAATCATTTTTAGATAAATCAGATTTTATGACGATAACTAAATCATTGTGTTAAAAAACACCCACATATAAGTGACAGAAATCGGAAGTAGTTATTTTTTCCATCATAAATTTTATTGTTAAGTATTTCTTGTCAGATTCTGATGAGGACACGAAATTTATTAGACTTTTGCCTGTGTTGATGATATTCAACTATGTTCCTTAGATGCTTTACTCTACAAGGCTGTTAATACTGTGGACCTCTTCCAGGCTTATAAAAATGGTTATCATTTAGTGAATAAATCTGTTCATAATCTGTTTTAGATCTGTGACTCGTAACTACATTTTGTGCGTTTCAGCGTACTAATGATAACAACGTTCATTTGTTTACTAGTGATTAACCTTGAAGGAACATTCCCGGACTCCGGTGAAAAGTCATAACTAGTGGAGTTCAGTTTTGTTGGGAGTGAGATAAATTTTACTAATGGAAATTAGTGGTTACAAATAAATTTGGGATGTAAACTGTGGGATGAGCTTACTGAGTGCTTAAGCGGTCAACCAAAGTCTCAAAGTTGTTGTTGTAACTTGTGACCTGTGTATAACGTGATGATACCGCCAATTAGAGAGAAGTGAATTATCGATCGAACCAATGACGCACGAAACACGTGCGATCAATCTAGAGTACTTATCGGTCCCGCTTCCTAACCAGCCCAGCCAGTTAAAGCCAGAACACCAATCTCAGTCTCTGCGATATGAATAATTTATTTCAAACATATTGGGTTTATATACCAACCAGACAGACCACATCGTACCATAAAATAGGAAACAACATTTGTGCATGGTTTAGCCAAAAGTGGCTGTGAACGTGGGAGGTATTAATTAATAAACAGGTCATAATTCAAGAATGGTAAATCGTATGACAATAGTTCATCGGTGAAAATAAAGCCCCTAAATGCTCTCACATAGCCACGCGTATATAGCCTCTGCTAGGGAAGTCCTACTCACTGCCTTCTCGTGGCTGGGGTGTCGTTTACGAAAATGAGAGGACGAAAAGCGAATGTCCGGCTCTTTAACCGGATCCCAAATCAATGTTGAACATGGGCTCCAGTATCCTGCTGAAAAAATGGCGTGTGAACCATTTGTTGGTCACTGGCTTCCATGGGACTCCATCTCTTTACGATGCTCCACTTCCTTGTGGATCAGACCTTCAGGTCGAAGGCTCGGGGTGTGGCCCCCTAAGAAAACCACCTGCTTCGGTTTGGGCACTAAGGCAGTATAACAACCCTCACACATTTCGAATGAGATTTGTGTGACGCATACGTATTTGGTGCCTCCTTGTACCAATATCTGTGTTAAAATAAAATAAAAAAATCTTATAATAAGAAGGACACGAATATGAAGAGTTTTGTTATTTAACAGTTATACGATAAGAATATCTGTTTCTTTGTGCTTAAACCTCACCATCCCTTCTTTGCTTTATATAGCTAGTTAGTTTTACTATTATTATTGTATAGTTCAAAGTCAACTGTGTGTAGGTACTTGCACATATTCCATCTTTTTCATTGTCTTCTCTAGGTGTGACTAGTTTTCAATTACTTATTTCCCCTCAGTTGAGATGATATGTTATAAGATTTTAATTCATTCAATAAATTTTCATTGTCTATTCATGGCTATTCATTTTCCTCAAACTTCAGTTAATGATATTCTCATGATTGATATGTATATGTTGCCTTTTTTTTGTTTTCACTAGTTCACCGACAATCAAAACTTCTTTTATTTATCTGTATTTGTTTGAATTTTCTCGTTACTGATTTTAAGGACTAAATTAGGATTAGTTTGACGATTTAAACACTAGCCATTGGCTATCAGGACTTAATAGGTCAGCAGATAACGCTTTCGGGATTTTAAAAGAAAGATACAGAATGTGAATATCAACATGGTCGATAGCATTCGATCTTCACTAATAATAAGGACTAGACACGCATGACATTGATCACCACCCAGTGATCAATCAATTGTGAATATCAACACTAAAGGAGATATATTGAACTGACAAATCTCAGGTAGTACAAGACGCCCTTCCAGAATCTCATTATTAGCCCTTATCCATCTTTACTTGAAATAAAATTTATGTATTATGTTTAAGCATATTCAGATCACTTGTACACTATTGCAGTCAATATGAACTTGTACACATCATGAACTTTTGTCCTAAATTAAAGTATGATTCTTATCATTCAAAAGGTGTTATATATTGAAGTAGACCGATGTTTTTAACTTTAGTGCTTAAACGGATTAATTTTTACAACTTAGTTTCTCGTATGAAAATGTTTGTTAAAATACTGATTAAATCATGACAAATTGATTTCTCTTTAGTTTACTATAAGTGATAAATATTAATTAGACCAAACTTACTAAATTGATTTCACAAACATGATACTACTGTATGGACGAAGTATTATAGGTTAGTAATAAAACTAGCAGTTTTGATGAGAATAGAATTTAGCACACATGGAAAGAAACTACGTCTGGAACCCCTCTGGGGCTACTGCCTGTCCCAAACCCGGATAAATGGGGAGGGTTTGGCGTGGGGTTTGCGACCCCATCCCGTAGAAAATCAACTCGCTCAAAAATGCTAACACACGGAAAGAAGCTGTCAGTTGTCTAAAAGCACTCCCAGGGTAGTTGTTGTTTACTTTTAACTTTTCTATTACAAATCATAACTAACAATATTTAAAACAAATTTATTTAGATTGTGTTTACTGAGGATGTGAAATAATTGGATGTTAAAAGATAATATAATAGATTGTCACTGATTGTTTCATCGCTAAACATTCATGCTATACCATTCAGTCATAATCAACGTTGAGTCTTGCACATATGTGGATTAGCTCAAGTTACCATTATCTCAGTTGCACAACGAGATGAAATTAACAAACCAAATGAATCGAAAAAAATCAGTGGCAAAGACAATGAAAGGCTGAATAATGAGAATAAATTTCTAAAAAAAATATGTAAAAAGGAATACTGTAACTGAAGATCTAGATCATGGGGTTAAATATATCTGTAATTAGTTCTGATCTACTTTACCCGTCTCCAACCATTGTTAACGATTATCGAGTGTATCTCACTATTTAGTTAAAATGAATAAATTATTTGATTGCATGATCTGTGCAGTTAACATCTAATATTGATCTTATTCAAAGATCGATATAATAATTGTTCCATTAAGAGTTAATAAAACACGAAAAATAACTTAATTCATTTTACAATTCTATAACTGATATATTTACTAATATCTTTTCTAATCTTCTACAAGGATGATATTGTTTACTGTGGATATAACTCAGAATGTAGTCACCATTCCACAGATAAGTGATTAAGTGCATTATAAATCTTACTGTTCATATGGAAAGGCTCAATATAGGAGTTTATGTAAAACTTTCATTAGAATCAATGTAAGCTAACTAACCAGGTATCGTCAAATCTGTGATAACTTTGTTCTCCAAAATACAAATACTAATCAGTTGACTGTTGCTTCTGTGTTCTCTGCTTTATATCTAATTGTTATAACTCGGTTTTCTTCTTGCGGTTATGACCCAGCTATTCCCATTGCATAGTATTCTCGGACACCGATTCACTCGACAAGTCCCCAAATCAGAACACGGTTGAACAGGAAAGAGATTATATTCCAAATAACAAGGTTAGATGGAAGCAAGATGCAAGCCAGAAGCACAATAGGGAAAACGTCAGTATATTTATAGTTTTTTACATAAGAAGATTCCAGAGTATTCTCCAACTATCGACTAGTGCTGATTGGATAAGAATTAACCAATCAGCGTGCAACAAAGCAATCATGCATTGAGCATGCTTTAATCTAGTCTATGTCCCGCTAATAGTAACTCAGTTTTTCGATAAAGATTTCTGACAGTGATATTAAACTGTTCCATTGACATTAAAAACTAATTATAATGATTCATTATTAATGTTCTCATTTAATATTTTGACTGGAGATTCTAGCCTAGTTGTATATATCACAAATTCTGAATTTCTCATAACTTTTTTTTTGTTTTAATTTCAGCAGTTTCTATTTTCTTACTGAATTATATCTTTAATATCCAATTCTTCCTATTACTAATGATGCTGTTATAACCTCTTTGTTTATTTAAACACATAAAAATTGGTGCAAGGAGGCATTAGACAAATATGTGTCACATAAATCATTCAATTTGTTTGAGGCTAGGATACTGCCGCATTCCTGAACCGAAACAGGTGGTTTTCTTAGAGGGGCACACACCGAGCCTTTGGCCTAGAGGTCTAATCCACAAGACAGTGGACCAACGTCAGAAGATGCAATCACATAATAGCCAGTGACCAACAATAGGTTCATACGCCATTTGTTTCCTCAGGATCCTGGAGCCCCTGTGCACCATTGGTTTGGAGTCAGGGTTTTCCAACTCCTCTAGGTGGATCCTCCTTATCCACCAACCCGGTTAAAGCACCGGACATTGGCTTTTCGTCTTCTCAATTTCGTAAACAACACCCCCAGTGCGAGAAGACAGTGAGTGGGACTTCTTTGGCAGTGGTTGTATGCAGGTGTCCATGTGATAGCATTTCGAGAGGGAGAGTTAACTCTACCCACTTTCAGCCGTACCAGGGCATTTAAGGGCGTTATTACTACTGCTACTCTGGAATTCGGCCTGACAACTTCATCACTATGCGGTTATGAGGTATTGCAACTTGAACCGATATACATATGTACAAGATTCTGAGTTGTGACTAACTGAGTAACATACAGAAACGTTTCATCAATGCTATATTTGTGTATTTTACTTTAAGCTATCACACTCAATACGACACTAACAATAACAGGTCATGATAACACATAATCCTCAGATAGTTACATGATAAACTTGATTTTTAAATGAATAACATGAAATTTCTTCGAATTACTGCACTTAAATTCTGAGTTTGAGTCTGCCACATTAGGTCTTTCCATTGTGTTTTATACATATGTCTTCCACTTGAATTACATTGATTCCAAAACATAAAAAATGATCTTTTAAAGCTATGTAATTTGTAATTAGCTCAGGGAATATACTCGCAGGGAGATTATTAACTAGTAATAAAAAAAATTTGAATAAAATAACGCATATTTTGCATTATACATCAGTAAAGATTATTTTGCCAAAATGGTTACGATCACCTTTAGCATGTGTAAGTCATTTGAAACTTATCGAGTCCAACTTTTCTTGTTATATCTTCTGTAGAAACGGTAATACATAGATCAGAACACGTACGTCACCCGCTTGAAACTCCGAAGTTCAGCTCGTGAGATAATATCACGTTAGAATTTACTTTCTTGCAGTGTTTGATAATCAGTTAAGACTGGTGTACATATATTTTATTTACTTGGGTTATCAGTAATAAATAATCATACTGATCCAACGGTATCTAGTTATATACAGCACAAAATCCTCTTGCTTGAATTTATTTTTCGCTGAAAAGCACCGCTGCTGAAATACTTTAAAGCGAGTATTGTTTAGTACACTATAATATTTTAGTACATTTTATTAAAGAGATGGTTTTGTTCACCATCGACTACCAGTTGACAAAAGCTAAGTACTGTCATTGTCCCTTTTTTGTCCCGATTGGAAACTTCTTAATAGTCCAAACAAACGAATCGATAAAAGATTCAACTCAAAAGACTTTGTTATATAACGTTATAATTAATAAATCTCATTTCTAAGTTATCGTATTACCTACTTGATTGACTTTACAAGTCACAGCCTCTTTGTAAAATCCACCCAAACTTCAGTCGCCAATAAGTATATTAAAGGATCATTTTTGAGGAAGTTTTTTTACAAACTGACGAGTGCTTTGTATATTGTATCCACTCTGATATCTGGCTTTAAGATTAATATTTCAATGTGTTAGATTGTTATGTCCTGATAAGCATAATGAATGGTAACTTTTGGGGTCCATTCATGGAACAATATTAAATATATATTTTTACCATATAATTGTTAAGTGTCTAAACTATTCATATTCATGTCCCTCATATTATGAGCTTTATTTTGACCTATGAACTGTTATTATACGATTTGCCATTCTTGAGTTATACCTAGTCTATCAATTACTACCTCCCACGTTTACAGCCACTTTTGGCTAAATCATGTACAAATGTTGTTTCGTATTTTATGGTACGATGTGGTCTGTCTGGTTGGTATATAAACTCAGTATGTTTGAAATAAATTATTCATATCGCAGTGGCTGAGATTGATGTTCTGGACTTAACAGGCAGGGCTACGCAAGGAGCAGGATCGATAAGGACTGTAGACTGCTTGCACGTGTTTTGTGCGTCATTGGTCCGACCGATAATTCACTGCTCTCTAATTAGCGATATCATCACGTTATACATTAACAGGGTACACAGGCCACAAGTTATAACATGGATGATCTAAAATCATTAATGAAAATGGTTAAAAGTTATCGTTCTAGATATAGTACGAAGTTACCATAACTGGACATATAAAACATCTAATTCTGATTCATTCAAAGAAAAGAGTTTTGGTCACTTGAGTGCTGTTAGAGGTACTTGAAAAGGAAACTGTATTGTGAGTGATCGATAAGATCTAAAAGCTTGACCACATTGTTCAATGGACAGTTGTTTTAAGATCAGCGAAATAAGGGTTCTTTGAAAATAGTTTTAAATGTGTTGGCTCAATACTTTTAAAGTGTTAACATTGTTGACAGAAATTTAAGGGGCTATCCAGTGTTAAGATATGTTATGTTGAATGGAAATCATATTACTTACTTTGTACACCAACACTTACCATATGACATCGAACCGTGAATATTTCCTTTTTGTTTTATCAGTTGTCACAAATCTACTGATTAATTCATTTAAATTGATTCCTATCTATGTCCATAATATTGGGCTTGATAAACAGAAGTTATTTAATTGCTTTGATGGATCTGCTTTTTTTATTCGTCAACTTCCCTGAATTCCTTTTCATCATATATGTTAATATATATATTGTTGCTTTGTATCGTAAACTGTAGGCTGCCAATGTTGTAAATTCAGTAAAAACTCGTCCTCGTGTCCTATCATTGTATCGGCAAATATTTAGAATTGCTCGAATATGGCAAGCAAACTCTGGTTCAGTCGAAGATTCGTCACGTCAAGCTGATTATATAAAAGAGGAAGCAAGAACTTTATTTCGTCAAAATGCACATATTACAGATGAGATAGAAATTGAAGTAAGAGATGTGATCTTTCTTAACTCTCACTGTTAACACTATATTAGTTTGAGCAAGGTCTTGACTAATTAAAGTGACCTACGAAATTGATTATCTCCAGATGCAAATGTTTATTTTCATTAATGTTTTGCATAAAAGAATACTATTTCGTTAGAAGGAAGTCCTTTTCTAATGGACAGCTGTTTTGTTGGTTTGTAATCATTTGGATAACTGTAAGGGGGGACGTTTTTCAATAATTCGGCCTCGTGATTAACCACCAAGTAACCCCATAGTATCATATTGATATCATCTATCGACCAGCACTTTTCTGTTTCATGTAAACTGTCGAGAATTCACTAATCAAATTAGCCAAACTTTTATTTACAAAACAATGAGAGGGTGTTCCAACATCCTGGACTGAGTCGATAGTTAGCCCTATCTTTAAAAATGGTTCACGTCGTTTCTATAACAATTTTCGGGGGATAATTCTACTTCTGATCGCGTCCAAACTATTGGCTTCTGTTATAATCCGTAGGTTTTTCAAAACCCGAGAAAGATTGACTCACGAGGATCAGGTTGGTTTTCGTTCTGGTCAAGGATGTATTGATCATATCTTCAAATGTTAGAACACCATCATACTGATCACAGGCCAACAATCGTAATGTTTCTTGACATCACGGCTGTCTTCGATTCGTTGGACAGGACTGTTCTCTGGGATTGTCTATTGAAGAAACGTGTGCCTGAGAAGTTTATTAACGTCTTGAAAATCCTATATGCAAACACCTCAGGCAGAGTGAGGGCATACAACCACAACCCTCCATTGTTCCATTCAAGCAGTGGGATTAGGCAGGGTTACTCAATCTCACCATTCCTCTTCAACTCGGTCACCGATGACATTCTGGAAACGGCCCTGATGGATGTAGGTAATGGTGGTATGGATCTGTTGTCTGGAAAAAGACTTTTCAACCTTGAGTATTCGGGTGATATTGTCTTACTGTGCAATGATACCCAAATCATGCAAGCATGCAATAAAGCTGTACACTACCGACCCCTATTGGTCCTTGTAGACTCAAGATAATGGCTCGAGACGTTGTCATACATGGCACAGAATAGAAACCAGTGGCGATTTTGATATAAATTTCTTTTAATTTCATGAAATTGGACGTAACTTCTTTAACTGAACTAATTATTTCTAATTTTATTTGTGCTACCTGAACTGTTTCTGCCATTATTATTATTATTTCCCTTCCATACGCTAATTTCTATTCATTGTTGTTCTTTTTATTATACGCACTTTACATTCTCTATCACTTCACAGCCCACTGTTATCGTGTAGCTCATATGTATTTGGTGTTATTGTTTTTGGTTGTATATTTGTTGGCAAATATAGACTAATTGATTGATTCTTACACGATGTTATAATCTCTCTTCTTACGGTTATGACCCAGCTATTCCTATTGCTTAGTATTCACGGACACCGATTTACTCGACAAGTCCCCAAATCAAAACACGGTTGAACAGGAAAGAGATTATATTCCAAATAACAAGGTTAGATGGAAGTAAGAAGCAAGTCCGAAGCACAATAGAGAAAACGTCAGTATATTTATAGTTTTTTACATGAGAAGATTCTAGAGTATTCTCCAACTATCGACTAGTGCTGATTGGCTAATTCTTAGTCAATCAGCGTGCACCAAAGCAATCGTGAATTGAGCATGCTTTAATCCGGTCTATGTCCCGCTAACACACGATTATCATGACTGACAATTAAAGACCTTGGGTTTAGAATCGGTTACATTAGTTTAGATGTATGCATTGTTTGTATCCTTAAGTTTTAAAACTATTCTATACTATATATTATTCAAATTCTTTCCTTTCAAATCATATTCTCTATGCCTAATTTTTTTCTACTATCACTGATACTCTTTTTCTAGTTCCACTACTCGAACATTCATTTCACTTGATAATTATATCTAACTGCTTTGAACGAATCCACATTTATCCCATGTTATACTTCGTTTATGACCCATGATGTTTTATTACTCTTTTCATATGTTTATTGTTTTTTCCATATACTTTATTTCATTCAAATAGAATCATATTAAAGAAGCTGAAGCAAGAATAGAATTAACTTTACATTATGGTACACCATATCCACGTTTAACTAATTTACCACCAAATACTTTAGCCGCACATATGAATACATCAACGAAGGGATCAACACCACCACCATCGTCCAGTGGAAGTTTTACAACAACAAATAATAGTAATAGTGTACATGAAAAAAGTAGAATATCACGACGAACTGAACGTGCATTATATGAATCTGTTCCAGCTTATTTAAAATCATATACTTATAGACCGAAAAAATGAGGAGAAACAGTATTACGTCATAAATTTTCCTTTCTTTTTTCTTCGTTATTTAGATAGTAAATACAGATTCATTTAAATAGAAGTACGTTTTTCTTCTTATTTATCTATTTGCGTTCTTATATTGATGAATCAATTTATTTATCAGGTATTGATTTCTGTATTTGGGATTTCAAAGCATACTCTAAGTAGGAATGCTAGTGATAATGATTGAGTAATTAATCTAAAGTACTTTGAACCTCAGACTTAACGATTATTAGTTGAATGCCTCTACAATTAAGCCATCACTTCACGATGCTGACGCATAGGTTTCAATAAATATATTAAAAATTGATATAATAGTGTAATGATGGGATGACTGTATTTTGTGTTTTTGTCATTCACTCTTTGAGTAGTTGTACGTGATTATTAATAACGAAGTCTAGCCAGTTGTAGACAGCTTAGGATCTACTGCAAATGTGTATTAGTTCAAGTTATCACACACATCAACCTAACGGATGAAAATCAACAACTAGAAGATTGTACGGTGTCAACAATTTGTAGGTAGTATTTATCATATTGGTCTCATTTTGGGATACAACTAAAAACCGATTGACACCGGACAGTTTTTTGTCTTACTATGGGAATTCTCAGGAGTGCGAAATCAAGGCATTCAGGTCCTACTACAGACGCCTAATCACTAGAACCAGTAGGCTGGTATCACATTTATAAATTCAATCAGTTTGCAATGTAGCACAACAGTCGTCCAGTGCTACTGCTGACAATCGTCCCACTTTAGACATACCTAGATTCTGTCAAAAACTGAATATGGTAATACCAATACATATTTAAACTTTAGATTTCGCAGAAGGCATTGACTAATTTTACCGAATTAATTTCCACTGGTGATTTCACACTTAAAGTAACTCAAATCGACAGTTAGTGAATTGCGTTGATTTCATGTCTGGAGGTCTAGTGGCTCCCAAATTACTCACAGCTTACTTTTATGGGTATAAGTAATACACGTTCCTATCCAGTCAATGAAAAATCAAAACTGATTTACCACCTTTATCTAGGTTCTTACAACTAACATCATTATTCATCCCGTGATTATTACACTATACCTGAGTACTGCTTTGAATGAATACTAACAGCCTACGCATCCTCATTACTGTCATAGCCATAAAGACATATATACCTTACTGCTGGGCAATATACTTAACATTTCGTTACCAAATAAACATGTCGCTTTCACCTTGCATGTGTTCTAAATTGACAAATGACGTAGTATCTCTTCGGATACGGTAAAAGTCGTTGTATAATAGTTCCCGACTTTCAATGATCATTAGATAATTGTTAACTTTGATACAAACACTTTGGAATTATATGTGATTATCTAGTAAGCTTATTTAACTTAGTTAATTTACAGATAGACTCAGTGTATAATAAACTACTTGTTCGTTTCCTTACAACTTTATACGATATATTCATTAAAAAAGAAAAGAATAAATCATTTGCAGTGTACAGTGATCAGCTATTACTTATTTAATAAACAACTGTACACATTGTTAGTTGTTAAACACAAATTTCAAGATGGAAATGATAACGCAACAAGATGTCCGTCCAAAATATCTTATTTACCAACTTTAAACTCCAGGCACCAAATACGGTGTAGTGTAATTTTCTGATATTTTACTTAGTGATAATATTTTAATTTAATGTCAAAATAACTCGACTAAGAATGAAAACATGGACTAACCAACGTTTACTTATTAATCCACCTTAATAAGTAGTAGTGCAAGTCCTATTCATAACACAGCTGAGAAGTTCCGAACAGGACGAAACATTTGTCCTAGTTTCTACTGGTAGCCACCGTTTAACTCAAGTTAGAATGGTTGTGAATTAAAGGTAATATCGAAACAATCCGCACAAACTAATGCAAACGAATAATTAAGTACTTCGTCTTCAAATTAATAAATGTTAAAACACAAAACCAAATGATTATTTGTTGTATTTCAATTGCGTATAACCGATACACCAAACAAGAGGGCAGACACAGACGCACATACAACTTCAAATAAAAGAATAAATAGGAATAATTTGTACTAAATTTACAAAAGAAAAATGCAACAACCGCCTTTAACATATCATAATTAGATAAGTATAAGGTCTTTTGAATGTTAACATACTGAACAGTACATAAGAAAAACACAATATACAGGCAATTAAAATTTGACTAAGGCTAACATAATTACCAGTAAGCATAGTTTAGACCGAACCTATATGAAACAGTAGCATAAAGTATGAAAGAAAATTATACATAGTATCTGTACAGAATGATTGGTATTTGTGTATGTAAATGTGTGTGCAAGAGAGAGGAAGATGGAAAGTGGAAGCAAAAAACGATAATAGCAGTATAATCACTAAGTTACATTAACATATCGGCAAAATATTCATCAAATTCATCATCTTGTGTTTTGATGGTACCAACACCACTACTCGTAGCGGTAGATGTAATTGAGGATCTTTTACTGCTATTCTGTCCCGATTGACTTGATGTACAACACCATATTGAATTCAGATCGGCAGATTTCTCTTCAGATGATAACGCTTTGACATTATCATTATTATCGTCAGTGTCATCAATACGTGGACGCTTTGAGGACGGGGAAGTACTTGAAGAGTCTATATTATTATCATCACCATTATTTGTTCCTTGTTGACTGGTGATGCGTTCATCGTCACCTTGATGTGAATTTAATTGTTTACCGGTAACATCTCGCCTCCTTTAAAACCAAAAAAGGAAAATTAAACAAACGTTTTCTGTATGAAATAAAATGGAACAACTTGAGTGCTGAGCATTTTAGCGGTTTCCATGTTCATTACTCAAAGTGTTGATTAAATTCAGAATTCGTAACCTAACGCTAAGAAACAAGAGGACTACTAAACACTACTGTATTTATTGATCAATTAATGTTTATCTTGATAATCTCATCATGCTGTGCAAATGTCGTGTGGCAAATTTTTCGTTATATTATTAAAATGACCCTTGAGATTTTATCAAATATTGAAATGAATGGATTAAAAAACCACTGAAGAGAGTGATTACTGAATAGTAGCACCCGATATCATACTTATTTATTCTCAGCATTGATTGTATAAGATTAATCAAATTACAATATGGAAACTAGTCTGAGTCTAATTCCAATGTTTTGTGTTTTAATGCTTTAGAGGATTGAAAGTGATTGGCAGGAAGCACTGAGACTACAATGAGTATAAAATTTAGATTTTGTATCAGTTAACATCTGCTATTACGGAGGTGCTTGAACTTTTGAATAAAAAGAACCCTTCCCGTGAGAATCGAAATCCCGTCACAACTAAAAAGATATTACCTATAAACTATTTTATTCGAATACTACAAACAAAGCAAGTCAACCTATTCAACAACCACCTATTCAATAAAAACACATTCAACCAGTCAACATGCATCAATCTAGAAAAAGTAAATAATTGATAGACTAAACGTGTGACTAGAGGCTAGCATGTCACCCCAAAAAGCATTAGATATATTCAGATTAGTTTTAAACTTATTTATAAAATACGACTAGCAATTGAGTTAGATAAAGGGTACTAAATAAAAGTCTGAAGTTGGTTAGCAGGCTGAACCTTTATCGATTGAAGTGATTAAGACATATATTAAGAATCTCTAACCAGCAACTACTATGAAGTGTAATGCTGATTAAAATATGAATAAACTGAACAAGAGGTAAATGCTAGCAGAACAACATATCTCATTAGTATATGAAGTCAATGGCTAATGACTGAAACTTTCTAGTCAGTTGAGGACTACCAAATACTAGTAATCGACAGATGGAAATGTTGGGTGGAATGGAGGAAAATTTGGTCACAATGATACAGTTGCACTAACTAACTATCTTCCTCTAAATCTAACTGCTTTTTTCTTTGAAAACATGTTTTTCTTTTGGCATTATATGTCTGATACTTAGATTTCCTTTGCGGCAGAAACTAATTCCTCTTCCTTTCTTTTTATCAAGTTAATTTTCTCTGTCACTGGGGTTGATATGAGGTGTGGCAACCTGGACTGACTAATGTTCGTATCAGTTCTGACTCTGATGATGACTAACTGACATCAATATGTATAAAGTACACCGTCCAGAAAAACATTTAAGCTTCTAGTTCACTCAGCTCGAAAAATAAAAAAACAAATTAATTAACCTCATAGTTCACACCAATGACCGATCTTAGTTAGATATTGGCAAGCAAGAAGAAGTGGACAACTATTTTCTCCTAGTATGTGAATCAAATGTGTATATCGATAACCTTGCTAGAAATCAAAACCAGGAGGTTCTAGGTCTTGTGGTGAGCGCTTAAAATCCAAAAAACTAAATTAGCATCCAAGTCCTGGCTTCACTGACGGTGGGGTTATGGATGTGCATAGTTAAATAGTCTAATACTAAGACGAAACAGTAATCCAAAGTTTCTTGGTTTTCAACAGCTATCTAAGGTTACCCACTTCATGATGTAAACCATCCAATTCAAAACTCCCAGAAAATTAAATGGAAAGAAAAAGTAATCGCTAGAGGCGTAATAATGAAATCAGTGTGAAAAGTAAATTTGAATTTTAAAATAATTTGTAAGTCTGACTGACCGATATCGATAATTCAACTTCTCGGAACAAGGAGGACATAAACGTATTTTAACCAAAGCATTACGTCGTTCACCACGTTCCTGATAAACAAAATTCACTTCCCAACTACGAAGACGTTCAGATCCAGCTGGGCAAGCTACATTCCCACAAGTGAACTGACCTGAAATTTTTGTACAACATAATATATAATGAAAATCCAGTTAAGAGAATAGTAAGTCGAGTTTTTAAACCATATTTTGATAAATATAAAGTCAATTTATACTATTCAGTTTCTAAAACGAAAGTTGGCAAAAAATGATACTAATTGTTAATTTAGCGGCTAAAAGCGATGTATTTAAACTACTGGCAATTTTATACTTAAATCACCGATACTTTTACAAAGGTTAAAGGGTCAACCGAACAACTTAACTTGTATCACTTTAGCTAACCTAATCTTATAGAGCTAGTTTTTTCTGGAAATGAATAAAATAACCAGTTCTTTTCTTTTCAAAAATACAATGAAACACTGATAACTAATTAGTAGTATTGAAAAGACAAGTTTTTATTGAGCAAATAAGAATAAAGACAATTATTCAGTGAAGAAATCTTTCTTCCAAGTGATATAATTTACTGAAGCCGTATAGACATCTTTATAACTGTGTAATATATAAATATTTGTCTAGTGAAAAACAAAGTAGAAATGTCTGAGTATATTGTTTTGATGAGATTTTTCAAAATTGAGTTGCTACTCAGAGATATGTTTTTTTTAAAAAAGCAAACAGGTTGTATTGTGCAGTCGATATTAATTTCGAAACTTGTTCTAATTTACATTGATTATACCGAAAATTTTGAACTTTGTGATTATACTATTCATGTCTTAATTATTGTCATAGACTGATATCAGCTGAAGTAATTACTAATGAAAATCACGAAGGACTGATTAGAGAGATAATTTTTCTTTTTAGTATAAAAAAGAAAGTTATGCAGTGTGTCATGATGACTGTTCTGTGTGAGTATAACCACTGACATTCCGTTTTAGTACGTAATAAGATTTATTTGTCAGCTGACGTTAATTCATGGCTAAGGCCATCTTTAAAGTTAGTCGATCTCTAAAAACTACTTTAATCTAATACTTTCTTAATCGTTATTGTCATAGATAATTCTGAATGTCAGTGAAATACAATTAAATAACCGAATTCCGACTGGTAATAACATGATTATTAACTATTTAATATACTTAAACCTTAATCTAAATAAACGTTATTTTAATTTACCTGATCAGACAAAAACAAAGTATGACCTAGAAAACACATAGGTGTGTCCAAGTTTACAAATTATTATATATCAACAAAGGAAAATGAAATTAAAACAAGCATTAGAATAGTAGAAAGAGAGTAGTAACAATTAATATAACTGATAAGGAGTTAATTAATATTTTATCATTTAGATAAAGAGATCTCTTTGTAAACTAGTAAATTTAGTCCCGACCGGGATTTGAATCGATAACTGCATCTCTGTGCTAATGTGGTATGGCAACTCGAACTGATGTACATACGTACGAAATTCTACGTTGTTACTGACTGAGTAAATTTAGTCGATAATGCATATAAAAATGTTATAAAGCAGATATTATTCCAGATATACTGAACTCTCATGAAAAAAACACTAACCTTGCACGGATACATCAGAATGAAGACAACAGAACTTCCTAAAACATACAGTTGTTTTACTCTAGAATATGTAGTTCCGTAGTATGTTGTTATCATACGAGAACATAAGTGAAGTATGATATAATGCATAAAATGAAATTCATACGCAAACATTATGAACTCGGAGTAAATAATTTTTCATAAACAAACTATGCAATGCATACCTTTACCGGAGATCACTTCTTTTTCTAATCTCCATCTCATACCAAACTGTAAAGAAACCAAAAAATTGGAAATGGAAATTTAAGTAGAAAGTAGACATGATTAGGTGTAGGATTTTTAAGAGAAACTGGAAAATTAATTGGAAAGTTACAAAATGAAATCCAGCATAGTATGCAACTATAACTTTAAAAACTATAATAAAAAAGATATATAATTTAATTGTGAAGTTTATTAATAGGGTTCTCAGATAACATCACTAGTGCTTTAAGACAGGGACTGGAACGCCCACCGAAAGTGCCCATTCGCTTAAAATACGAATTAGTTCTATCATTTCAAAATGATATATGGACTTCCGTAAATAATTGTTAGACATTTTGGGTGACATGATTCAAAATTGTTTGCAAATGATCTATGTGCATTCACTGTTTATCTCCCCTTGAGTTCCAAATTTATAAATTGCTTATAATTTATTTACCATTTTTCGAATTTATACTTCCTTCTCGAGTTGTATCTTAAATGCCTAATCTTTTCTATTAACATTTTTACTATTAAAACCTCTACTATTCTAAGGTCTACCACAGAAATCTCATCATGCCATGCTGATGGAGTACGGTAAATTGGACCTATATCCAAGTGTGCCGCGTTCTACTTTGTGTACGACAAAGTGACTGATTGATATACATTGTTTTCAGTCAGTAACAAAGTAGAACTTCGTACGTACATCAGTTGGAGTTGCCATATCACATTGTTTTGGAGGTGATCCGTTCTCTTTGAACTGGATAATGTGATTGGATTCAGCCATTCAACTTAAAGAATACAGTACTTCAAAAATTATCGCTATTAACTCGATATTTACCTCAAATTTAATATTCATATAAGAGACAAGTATTAACAAAGATAATTAGTACAAGCAATAATAAATTTAAAAAATTCACAGTATATGTCAGTTCAATGCTGTAAAAGAATTTTATCAGACAGAAAACGCTACTACCTTGCAGAAAATACAAATATAATACTGTTCAAAAATACAACTAAAAACCAACGTTTAACACTAAATTTTATCATTTAGAATGAATTGCTTTTCCTTATCGAAGATAATACTATATTCATCAGCATTCAAATTGAGGATGACTTATTCGATCGCGTAGTATTTATAAGGACTTATTTTGAAAATCTTCTTGATAATTACGTCACCATGATGTTACAATTAAGTTGATTAATTGACCAAGCAACCATATAAAGATGAAAGTCACAAAGAATATATCACCATTGAGTGATGTAATTAGTAAACTATTAGAGTACTTGGGGCTTTTTCATTTTTAAATCTATGGTAGGATGATTCATGAATACGACCGAATGATACCAAGCAATATAACACATAAATATATCTCAAGATCCCTCTATTAATTGGTTATACCTATATATAAGTGTAGCAATACTTGTTAAAACTCTAATTTATAAAAATGACAGGATTTATATGACCCAATGGCAAGACTATAATTTATGGACGAACCAATCAGATTTAGGATAATAGGTCTTGGATTTTGGCACGAAATTCACTCACCCATTCGTCCAGTTCGTGATGAAAAGCATAAATCTAAATCTTAACCCTTACCATTAACTGTAAATCATTGTCTTTATTCTTCAAACTGCTTTATAACCTTCATTTAGCCCTAATAATTAGGTAGATACTCTCGGTGTGACCTTGGCGTCGCTCAAAGGTCGTCCATAAATTGTAGTCTCACCAGACCCAGTAACTTAATGTAGTAAGTAACATCAATTAATTTGTGTATTCTATTCACTTAAACTTACCTTATTTTCTTTGTAGCGTGATAAATCAATAAGGCAATATTCTTTAAATAGTTTTTCCCAGTATTTTTTAGCAAGACGGTCGGACCTTTGAAGAGACAATAATGTTGTATCAATTAAGATATAGAAATATCATATATGAACAACAATTTGGTTAATAAACTGGGAAAAACAAATGTTTACATAGATAAGATAGTAAAATTGACTAAAAAGTGGAATACGTAGTTAAGTAGACTGTACAAAACAATGTGTTTACTAGCTAGGTTGAAACTTTGTTAACATGAAAAGCTGATTATCTCAACGACAAAAATATGGTTTTTAAAGGAAATAGGTGAAACCTAATTGATACAAACAGCGGTGCATACCAATGCAAAATGTATTCGATAAGTTTAGTCAAGGCCCAAACAATTAAAGCTAATTAACTGTAACTCACCAAGTACAGCCATTTATACGGACTAGATAAAGTGTTTGTAGGAGTTAGTGATAATACTAGGCTGTGCATATCGAAAGGAGAGGAAGCACAAGTTAAACTTGCGGCCAGATAACTGAAAGTCAAGTGTTTTGATGAGTGCGTGAAAATGTTTAGGAAAAAGTAACATTTCAGTTAACTTTATATTCCTTTTTAAACAGTCAATCAGTCGTGTGTGAAGTAGGATATGACATGCACCAACTCAAATCGGCACACTTCACTAGCACAGAGAGAAAATTATCTAGAAAAACCCCACAGTAGAAATAGTAACAGTATCAGCAGTAGTAGAAAAGATCGGGTGTGAAAAGAGGTACGAGATCTCGGGACTTAAGTTCTAAAGGAAGACAAAGAATGAAGCACCTGAGCCGTTGCGAACGATTTTGAGACAGTTCACCTTAAGTCTGGGGTGATAACTACACAATTCCTAACCAGATAGTCTGCACTTATTTACATAGCTTAGTTCAGTTTTCAATGACTACATTTATTGGTGCCGGATTTCGATTTGGAGATCTCTAACCTTCAACAAGTGAGTCCTTTGGTAGGTGATTAACCCATGGAATGTGTGGCAATGGATGTATTACTTAAAAGAAAGTCTACAACTAAGCTAAATGAAAACGTATAAGGTAGACAGCCCCGACGAACACCACTTGGGGTTACGAATCTGATGACAGTTCTCCATAAGCTCTGGCTCGACCAGTAGTGTTCGAGTATATATTCATGTATTATATTACATGTACATTTCGAACATATAATACACATTACACTAATTTTACAAATAAATGTTATATATATATATATGTATATATATATATATATATATGATTCCGCCGATTATGTAGTATTATTAGTCCACAACAAAGTACCTGGTGAATAAGCAAAAACAAGAATATAGCTGTTGGGATTTCTAGATATATGTGTTTATCAAAGTGTAACGATGATAATTGGTACATTACAAAGCAACACAACGAACATACCATGATGTCGCTTCATCTTCTTCTGACCACAAGAACCTCCCATGCTCTTTTATAACGTCAATATCTGTTTTATCCTTTGAACTGTAATATAAATTGTACGTAATCAAGGAGACAAAATTACGTGTCACGTCGGAAGTCCTTCCATGATCCACCGTAATATTGCAAATAGTCATTCACCAACTTTTTATGACGTTCGAACTTTAGAATAAGTTAAGGGTAAGGTAATGCTTCTTCTAAAAAGACTTCTCAGACAGATAAGGGCTGGATTGTGAGACAAATAGACTAATTAAAACAATTTTCACAGATCACGATACAACAAAGATACTCTGAGCAGTGATCTGTGTGCGTATATAGAAGCAAGCAGTTAAGTTCAGAGACAGTTGACCACCCAATACAAACGTAACACACACATTTCCACTTACGTAAAGAGAAGTTTTACTCACTACCTTCACATTTCAGTAGTTTAATGAGAACTGACCTTCAGTGGTCAAACCACTCCAAGGATACAAAAAGACTAATTCTTATATGATGTGAATTACAAGTTACTAGTAATGTAATGGACTGACGGGAAAACACTACTCTGTTACTTTAACTATTTTAATATTTATAGAAGTTATATTTTGTTAGTAGGTATCATTTAGTCATGGAAAATGAATTCAGAAATATTTTAGAAAGCTTGCTCATCAGTAGCGACTGTAAACAATGACCAAAATAACAAATACTAAACTTGTACACAAAGAGTAGAAGAAAAGCTAATCTTAAAAACAAAAAACGTTTAAAAAACTACAGGTTAGAGTGCATGGATTAACAAAATTGCAGTGACAGGACTACAGTTTACAAGTTAAAAAAACAACTGCTTTCTAAATCAGAAGTGTTCAACTTGACGTGAATGTAGGGAATACTAAAAATGTCAAAGTTACACGTATATATGAAACACATGAAATGACAAGAAAACCAATCAATAAATATGCAATGTAACTATAGTATAGTAGGAACATACAAATTAAAAACCAGAGTAAACATCGAAGACGCAAAATAGAGCTAACAATGAGCAAAATCTATGGTCACTGATTCACGGTATGTGGAGAGGTTTAGTTTGGTCGACATTTTCCACATCAGAAGTAACGGAGTGCAACATATTTCGAAACATAATCCGAGTTTGTGGGGGAAACTACACTCGCCATTTCACTATTTTCAGACAATAAATAAGGTGCATTCACCTTTATTTGATTTCTATATATCGTAATCTGAATGAATTAACATCGTTGTTCAGCGAAGGTTTCAGAGGAAAAGCAAAATCAGTGGTTACATTCACAGGTTTCCCTATCTTGCATTACACTACTAAGGAAAACTCAATGACATTTTTGTCGGCTAGCAGGCCATACATACAAAAATGGTGAGTTAAGATAGATAATTTACTACCACAATTTTGAAGGTTAAAGGATACAGCATTAAGGTTTAGCAGGTGATGTCGTATGGTTGAATTGTAGGCTCTACAGAAAAATGACATATAGCATTTAAAAAATACCTTTTATTTTCTGCATCTAAAATCGCTTTCGAGTTTCCATACGCTGGAAAACGAGGCCTGACAGGTTTTTCCCATAGCTCCTTATCCTTAGAAGGAGGTATGTCAGATTGGCTACCACAATTTAGTAGACAAGTATTTTACAAAATCATAGAAAAATAACAACCTTATCTCACTGCCACGGTCGATATTACTGGAAGTTTCGGATTCATAATCCGAAACGTACTCCCTCGACTCAAACATTCTCGCAGTAAAGATTCAGTCATAAAACGAGCTGTACAGAAACTCAACGTCCAATAACTTTCGGAAGGTTGAAGTAATTTTGTTACGAGCTAGTGCAAAATGTTTGAGTTTTCCGCTCTCACTTCTTTGCAACACGGTATGATTTCAGTTTTCAGACCTTTGTATTAAGGATAAGAGGTATATCAATAAAGACGCGAGCGCTAATTAAAATGACAGTTGTATTTTTACTCACTGAGTAAATTCTATTGTTTATCAGGTATCAAGACTACTGTTTTCACTTTAATTGAATTTATTTCAGTTAAAGTATTCGATTAGAGTGTCGTTTCTGTTTCTAAAATAGTTTTTCGTCGGTATTTTCGAGTATTTTGTGTCTTTTTGTATCTGTTAGTACTTTTGGTTCTAAGAATCTACAGTTTTCCACTTTTTTGATCATAGATCATTTTTGTCCCTGAGTATTATTGCATCTAGTTCTTTTTTAAGAAAACGACCCCTTTTTAGTGGCTGGACAGTGCGAAAAAAGCGATTGACAACGTCCAGGTTGTCGTTATCCCGTTGAAAGCGGCATGCAGTGCGATGAGTGCAAAGGCTGGTACCACGAAGTTTGCACGAATTTAACGCCTGCGGCTTTCAAACGGTTCAGTAAAAACGGTTGCGTATGGCTTTGTCAACAGTGCTGTTCGGATGCAAACAGTTTGCTAACCGAGGCCATCTCATTTGTAAATGCTGCAAAAAAGTGTTTTGGCAAGCGTGGTCGGGACACATCGAACAGTCCTCGCTCTGTCGACACGCCAATCGGTGTAAAGCAAACTCTGGTTAGTTCGGAAACGGGTGACTCACACCGATCAAAGGAGGAAAAACAGTCTTCAAAGAGGTCTGTATTAGCCAAAAACTCAAGAAAGGAGTTTCTCCTGTCCCCGTCTTCTAAATGGTATTCAGCAGGAAACGCCTAGAAGCCGCAATCGCAAGGCTCGATCGGTTTTTAGCGGGAAACATAGCCTGACTTCAGAAATCGTCGACAACTCTCCGGATTCCCATAATATGTTTGACGCAACTGTGGTTGCTTCTCCTAGCAACGTTGACGAGTGGGCACAGGTTGTAAGGAAGAAACAGCACAACAATATAAAAGGGAATCCTGCCTCCGTAAAAGTAGTCGAGAAATCGAAGGCTGATCACAGTTATTTTCCATAGAATCAAGGAGAATGAAAGCTCTGAGACAAAAACTCGTTTGAGCATGAGATTGTGCTGGTAAAACATCTACTTAATCAACTCATGCCTAAAATATCTACGGAGTCACCTTGCTAAAAGTGTACAGACTAGGTAGACTAGCGAACTTGAAGCCTAATCAATCACGATACTTAAAGTAGTATTCAAATCTTCGAATGAACGCGACCTAATTTTACAGAATGGACATAAATTAAAGGGTTCAGGAGTTTTTATCCGTAGGAACTTGCCGATGGCAGACCGCATAAAAAGACGGGAAGCCGAAAAAGAACTTCAACTTAGGTAAGACGCTGGCTAAAAAACATAAGTGTAAATTTTCAGGTTGTAAGGCTTCAACAGATTGATGCCGAAGCCACTCTGGGTGAAGCACGAGGCCACTTAAATAGGCTTCGGATCTGCTACACCAATGCCCGGAGCTTACTTAATAAGCGATCGGAACTAGGTGTACAGATTGACTCTACAAAGCCAGACATGATCGCAGTTACAGAAACCTGGCTGACACAGTCTATACATAGTATGGAACTTGATTTCTAGGGTTTTACGTTAGTGAGCGCCGACAGAATGCAAAAGTGTAAAGGAAGAGGAGTAGCTCTGTTCATTTGGAATGCTATCCCATTTGCCATTATTGACAATGTATTCCATGAGTGTGAAACGTGTGAATTAGTTAGTTGTTGCTTGAAATCCAAGGGATAAGAGCTACTGATTTGTTTGGTCTACCGCAGTCCAAGCTGTGAGGTAAAGGGGTCCTGCTAAGCAGTCTCAATACTTGATCACAAAGTGGTCGATATCTAAACCTAGGGGACTTTATTGAACCAGTGGTAGGCTGGAAAAATCTGCGAACTGAATCGTCAGAAAATTCCTTCGAGCAGGAATTAGTTGACGCGGTTACCACATCTGCCCTAGTGCAACATGTGAAATAAGCGACTAGGTACGACCCGGACGCTGAACCATCCTTACTAGATCTTATATTGACTCACTATGAGGATGACGTTGCGAACCTCCATTACATGCCGCCCCTAGGTGAAAGTAATCACGCAGTTTTAACTTTTGACTTCACACATAATTGTCAATCTAGAGCACGCGTTCGCTCAATCCATCCGCATCATTAGTGGAGGACGACCTTGGTAAGGCTCGAGTATTCTCAAACTATAGCGAAGTATAGAAGCACCATAGAAGCATCCTTCCCGTCAGCGCATACAAATTCCCCCACACATACACTGGATAGCATGACCATTATAGAACTCGATGTCTTTGGTCTTCTAAATAAGCTTGACATAGGGGCCCGATGAATTACATCCTAGTCTACTGAAGGAATTATCTAACTTCGTTGCGAACCCTTTAAGTATATGATTTAACCTATCCGCAACGCAGGCTCGTTTACCAAAAGACTGGAAGAACGCCAGAGTAAGTCGTGTCTTCAAAATAACACGAAACACAAACATGAGAATCACCGACCCGTTAGCCTAACTAGTGTGGTTGTTAAAATCTTAGAAAAGATTATTTGGAAGGTGCAGTTTAAGTACCTTAATGAAAACCGGATCATTTTGGAGAAGCAGCACGGTTTCAGAATAGGTTATTCGTGTCTCACTAACTTATTAGTCGCTCGTGAAAGCTGGTGCGCTCTTAAGGACCAAAAGTTACCTGTAGACGTAGCCTTCATTGATTTCAACAAAGCTTTTGACAAAGTTCCGCACAACCGGCTGTTATATAAGTTAAGAAATGTCGGGATTGGAGGCAATCTATTTATGTGGATAAAATACTCACTAGTTGAGCGCCAACAAATAGTAGCTGGGGAACTGTGCTTGGTGGAGTGCCCCAGGGTACAGTTTTGGGGCCAGTGCTATGCCTCTTGTATGTGAATGACCTTCCTCGTCTCCTATCATCATCGGTCTTGCTATATGCTGACGATGTCAAGATATGGAGGACGATACGATGTGAGGGTTATAGCTTAGAACTCCTAAATGACCTGAAGAATTTATCTGAATGGTCTCAAACCTGGCAGTTGACGATAAATACTTCCAAGTGTGTTGTGATCTATATCGGTCATCAAGGTACAGATACATACAGGATGAATAAGACTGAGCTACCTGTCGTCCGGACACATAATGGCTTGGGAGTCGTCGTTAGTCAAGACTTAAAGACTACTTCACACTGCCGTGCAATGTCCGTCAAATGTTTTAGAACCTTACGGTCAATACGTAGGGCTTTTAGTCATGTCGACGCTAAAACGTTTTTGACTTTGAATATAGTGTTCGTACGTCCTAAATTTGAGTACTTCATACAAGCGGCTAGCCCCTGCTTGAAAAAAGACAGTGAGCTTCTGGAAAAGGTTCAGAGAACGGCGAATAAGCTGATTCCCGGAATAGCGAAGCTTACGTCTGATGCTCGACTGGCCAAACTAAACCTTTTCCTGTTGTCATATCGCAGAACTAGAGGCGACTTGATAACAGTTTTCAAATTGCTTAGTGATAAATTTGCACCTGATATGCACTCATTTTTCTTGTCTTTTAAAACGGAATTTACGAGGACACTCCAAAAAAGTTCACAAGCCAAGAACAAATTACTTGTCAGCTGACTATCGACTTTCCCATTGAATCATCAACGATTGGAATTCATTACCTCAGCACGTAGTCGAGGCTCCATCCGTCGACTCTTTCAAACGAAAGTTGGACCATTGCCAGGACTAACACAGACCATTAAGCATCCTGTTCTTTCCAAACTGAAACTGAAACATATATTAATCCTTGCAGTTCATCTTCTATTGTCTAATGTAGATATTACAGCAACTCAGTTGCACCGATCCTAGTGAATTGTGCAGTTTGTTAAAGAATGTTATCTGCCGTGTTTGAATAAATTCGTCTAGTCTAAAGATATGAGATTTTTAGAATTAATGGCTATCACAATACTGGAAAGAAGGTTAGTTGTGTAGCGGTAAATAAATCCCCAAAATAAAGTTCTGCAAGCCTTTGACGTTGATTCTGACCTAATTAACCTTACTGCATACAACCAGTGGAAGGCACCCGATCACGCATCCGCACTACATAACGAGTTAAGAAGTACCGATGTTCACAAATACATGAAACTTCTCGTGAAATCCAGGCAATCTAATTTGTGAGCTTCATTTTTTATGATGTGATATTCTGATTTACTCAGACGTACGAGGCTTTGAGAACTCATTTTCTATGGGCCTGTGATCACATAAGAGATCACTGGATTGCTCGGAAGTAAATTTGAGCTCGCCGTTACCAGCGGCATGTACTATTCCTGGGCCACCACACAAACACTCTTGTCCAAAGTGCACATAAGAGAATGTCTCAGAATGGGTGATTCTTTTTTTATTGACGTTCTGGGAAATCTGTAGTAAGACAGACACTGACCTATCTTTGGGCCCATAGGACGCTATTAAATATCTTCAACGTTTTCCAAAGCTTGAAGTACGAAATATACTTTAATGTTTCATAAACTTCGAATAACTTTAAAGGGTTCGAATAACTTTTTCTGCTAAGCGTTTTCTTAGCGAGTTAGTTTCCTACGGTATGGGGTTGTAGTGGCATTGGACAATAGCCACACAATCCACAAAGCTGTGAACACGAGACTACTCAGGAAATAGATATTCAATATTTAACTCGGGGAAATACCTAAGAATGGAGAAGGCGCGAAGAATGAATTGAATTGACTGGAGTTGATCGAGTGGCATGGCTCGGCCATGCAGGCGTGGTCTCTATTCATATTAAATATATTGTTCCTTCTCTAACTTAACCTTCTTATA